CACCCCCGCCCGATCTGTTCCCGCCAATGAATGTGCCAATCACGTCTCAGAGTTGTTGTTCAATTTTCCTGTACCTCATGATGATTTGTTCTGATGTATGCAAAGCCTCCCGCCCTCCCCAAAAAGTGTACTTAAGCTCTGTTTGAACCTCTGCTCGGGGCTCTGGGCTGCTCTCCCTTCTTGAGTGAGCACAGAGTCCCAGCGCGCTGGAATGGATCCCCAATAAATCCCCTTTTGCCAATTGCATGGAGTCAGTCTCTTGGGTGGTCTCTCCCTCGGACGTTTAGCAGTTACCTTTACATAATTATAACTGTCTTCCTTTTCAAAGTATAGAACAATTAGCAAATAGAGAAATGTTACCATCAAGAAGCCAGTATAAGGGGGCTGGGATTGTGGCTTAGTGGTAGAACACTTGCCTAGCATATGTGAGGTATTAGGTTAGATTCTCAGCACCACATACAAATAAATATATTAAAAAAGAAAAGAAAAGAAACTATTATAAGGGCTGCAGGTAATAGCTCAGAGGTAGGACACTTGCCCAGCATGTTCAAGGCCCTGGGTTCAATTCCAATATACCAAACATAAAGTGCTCATATTAAGGTCAATATCAGATTACTCCAGAAACCTAGAAGCTTCTGAGATTATAGAAAGTCAATATTATTCCATTTCATGTAGGCTATGGAAATAGCTAGCATTCTAAATGTGGGTCTTCAAGAGCTAAACTCTATTTTTTTTATATTTATTTTTTAGTTGTAGTTGGACACAATACCTTTTCTTTATTTATTTTTATGTGGTGCTGAGGATCGCACCCAGGGCCTTGCACATGCTAGGCTAGTGCTCTACCACTGAGCCACAACCCCAGCCCCCAACTCTATTGTTTTTGAATCAGAGTAACTCACAAAATCACAGGCTAATTCATAGTCTTTGAGTTTAAGATCAAGGTCAAGGTCAAGATTTCACCTTGTTTTCCATTATAAACTGTTTTTTCTTATATAGATTTCTGTTGTAAAGCTGGACTTGTTGAATGTTTAGGAAATGCTGTACAGTTTTTTAAAGCTTATTGTTATTTAAGTGCATTATTTATTTTTAAAGATTTTTGAAAAGATGGACACTTTTTAATTTTTTTAAATTTATATATGACAGTGGAATGCATTACAATTCTTATTACACATATAGAGCATAATTTTTCATATCTCTGGTTGTATACAAAGAATATTCACACCAATTCTTGGACATAATATCTGTATTTATTTTTATGTGATGCTGAGGATTGAACCCAGTGCCTCACATGTGCAAGGCAAGTGCTCTACCACTGAGCTATAACCCCAGCCCCAAGTGCATTATCTTTACACTGCAGACTTTTTAGAATGATTGTATGGATATGGAAAGGAAACATACTTCACATTTTTTTTTTAATATTGAAATTTGCTATTTTAAGGAATGGAGTTAAAAGAGACTCTTCTCTTTCTTAAGAAACTGTAAATTGGTATGGACTTTGTGGAATCATTTTGGCACTATTTATCAGGTTTGAAGTGCTTAGATCCTATTTTTTTTTTACAATTCTACTTCTAGCAATCTATTTCTTAGATGTAATCATAACTGTGCAGTTGATGTTCATGCATATGTAATGTTTTCTGCCACATTGTTAGTTATATTGAATAACTAGAAAAAATGTGAATTCTAGTATATTGACAAAGGTTAAATAAATTATACATTAAGTTATGAAATTCTATGTAGTATTAAAAATAATTAAGTTGATTAAAAGTATTATAATAAAAAATAAAAAAATAGTAAAGATCTAGAAGGATGTACACAAAATAATTTCTTTGGTTATCATGGGCATGAGGGGTTTGGAAAGGAAACACATTTTAATATTTAATACTGTTTGGATTTTCTAAAATGAGCACCTACATTTATATTACTTGTGTAGCTTTAAAAAGGTTCAACTGAATATATCCCAAATACAATAGAAGACTGCATCAACTACTTTATTTTGCTCTTTTAAAATTCTAACAATAGAGTTGCAATGTTTACAAATGTAACAATATTTGGATTTAACATATAAAACAAAATATGCTTGACATTTTGGTTAGGTGTAGTACTTTAAAAATGTCTATACTGGGCTGGGGTTGTGACTCAGTGATAGAGGGCGTGCCTAGCATGTGAGGCACTGGGTTGGATCCTCAGCACCACATAAAAATAGATAAATAAAATAAAGGTATTGTGTCCATCTACAACTACAAAAAAATTTTTTTAAATGACTGTACTGAATTAGATAACTTACCTATTTGAAAATTGTTTTCTACCAAAACAAAAACAAACAAAACCTCATAAACACTGACTGAGCAATCCATTCAATCACCAATGATGGAAACTTATTTTGCACATCATTACAGTATCAGCAGATAGTAAAAATTCAGTAAATACTGACTGGATGAGTAAATCTTATTAGTAGCACCTACTTAAGCAGAACATAAGTAAGATTGCATGCTTGAGGCTCCTTTTACTTTTCAAATGGGGAGAGGAAGTGCCCTCTTCATTCTTAAGGAGGTTGCAAGCTTGGTTGAAGATAGGGCTTAGGTGGTTCACATTTTGGTGGTATGTGAACTGAAAAATCATTCAATTTTAGAATCAGACAGACTAAAGGAGAAAAAAAAAAGCAAGCAAAGTATCATGTTACATATGTTACATGTATATATACTATATAGTTATTATACACATATACACACACATGTATTTATTTTTGCTCAGACTAGAGGAAAGAGATTTGGTGCAAACTTTTCCTCACTGTGAAACTGTGATACCACTATTGGTTATACTTTCATCTGGAAAATGAGTATGAGTAATGAGTCCTTCCCAAAAGCCTCCCCCTCCCCTACTTTGGGACGTATGAATGAGTAATCTCATAAAATGCTGGTAATATAATGGCCATACTACACATATGTAATGAAAGTTTAATGTAAATTAAATATCAGACCACTAGGTAAAAAAGAACTTAAACCAAAATTATGCAAAAATGAAAATGTGGCTGGGCGTAGCGGCACGAGCCTGTAATCCCAGAGGCTCTGGAGGCTGAGATAGGAGGATCACAAGTTTGAGGCCAGACTCAGCAAAACCCTGTCTCCAAATAAAAAGGGCTGGAGATGTAGCTTAACGGTAGGGGGCCCCTGGGTTCAATCCCCAGTACCACAAACAAATAAAATAAAATGAAAATGTTCCAGCGCGATGACGGGCCTGTAATCCCAGCTGCTCAGGAGGCCGAGGCAGGAAAATCGGAAATAGTCTAGGCAATTTAGCAAGGCACCGTCTCAAAATAAAAAATAAAAAGCTCTGGGGATGTAATCCGGGGTACAGCGTCCCTGGGGCGGGTCCTAGTAGTCAACTCCCGGTGCCAGGCGGGTCCCGCACAGGCCAGAGGTTGCCCACTTCAGGGGCAGGAACCTAGAGTCTTCCTTGAGCCGGAGGGTCCAGGTCTCCGAAGACCACAACCGTGCCTGGCTCCCGGCCATCACGCCTGGCCTCGGCCGTGCTTCCGACAACCCGTCCAGCTCTGGCAGTACAGCCCGGATTCTCCGGTTCTAGCTGACWCGCCGTCCTACTTTGGGGAGTTGGGTCCCAAGGCTTTTCCCGCCAGCAGGGGGAGGTATTCTGACCTGGCCGCCCAGGTCCGCGAAGCCGGAAGGCCCGCTGGGCAGAGGAGGGAGCGGGAAGCACAAGGCGCGCGCTCCCGCGAGCACTGGAGCGAGGCTGGGGACGCGCGCGCGCGTGCCTGGATAGGGGGAAGGCGGGGCGGAGAGGAGAAGACGAGCAGAGGGCGCCCTGGAGCCGAGCCGAGGGTGGGCGCGAGCGTAGGGGCGGGACCCGAGGGGAGGGCGTCGACGCCGAGGGGGCGGGGTCAGGCGAGGCGGGGGCGCGCTTGCGGGCTGGGAAGGCGGGGGCGCGGCGGTGGCGGGAGCGTGCCCGGTCCCCGCCCCTGTTTCCCACTCGCTTCCACCTCCGACCCGCCGGGGCTCGGAGAGGCGCCGCTCTCTGGTCCCCGGAGCCGCCCTGCAGCGGCCATCTACCCCCTCCGCTCGCGGCCAACCCGTCACTCTTCGCACGGTGCGCTCCTCCGTCTGGGCCATGGATGGGTAAGTGTTAGGCGGCTTGGCGGCCGCGCGGGGCTGCGGTGGCCCCGCTTCCTCTCTGCTCTCGGCGGGACGCGCCGAGGCCGGGGAGCGGGGCGCGGCGCGGGCGGCCGGAGGAGCTGCCCAGGCAGAGCCCGACGGCAGGGCTTCCGGGCGCCTTCGTGGGGCTCCCTGAATCGGCGGAGGCGCGGTCCACTGCAGCGTCTCCTCGCACGCGGCGCCCGGGTAATGTTCGCCCCTTCGCACCCCAACAGCGCAAAGCGGGAAACCGAGGAGAGCCCGGCTCGGAGTCCGTGCCTGGGTCCGCCCTCGGCGCCCAGAGTCTGGGGAGCCCAGCCGGCCTCCCGACACTTCCTCTCAGAAAATGGTGCGCGGCGCTGGGGGAGGCGGAGGCGGCGCTCGAGGCGGGCGGGCGTCCTCGGCTCGGAGAGTTGCTGTTTACCGGCGGGGTGGAGCCCTGGGGCTCTCCCCGGCGGCAAGGCGAGTGGCCGCCGGGTGGCGGACGGCCAGGATGCGCGTCGGTACACGTCTGGGCGGTAACCGGGTCCCGAACCGCGGCTCCGCGCGGCTGCCCGGGGGCCGGCCGAGGTCTTCCGACTTGCGCTGCGAGACTTGTTAACGATTTCTGTGTACCACACGTCTAGACTTAGTGACCATGGACGCTTCCCCTTCTCCCTATACCCCCTCGAAACTTCGTGAATTCGCTGCCGTGTGTGTAAGAAATTGTGTAAGTGCAATTTTCAGGGAGTTTTCAAATGCTCAGAAACTAAATGGGGTTCGTGATCAAAACGAAAAGATTTAGAATCGCCTGTACCCAATAAATATTTCTCTGGGAACTCAGGGATATAGGGTGGGATCAGATATATTTTATTGATTAAAGCGTTAATTGAAGGATCTTGGTGAATTAGTAATCATATTATGTTTACAAGTTTGTTTTTTTTTTTAAATTCCAAACTCTGTTGGGGATTCCAAATCTATTTATTTATCCCCATTAATGCAGTGAAGTTTATGACAAGGTTTCTGTAAGCTTCCTGGTTGTGGAATATATACAACTTGATGGAAAAGTAAAAGCCATTTTTACATGTTGCCATATAGTTGATGATTGTTGCAAGCTGTGAAGACACTAGAATCTTCCAACCATTTTTGTCCTCATTAGATTTCATTTATCTTAGGTTTGCAATATTAAGTGTGATAAATGGATTAATTTATTTGAATGCAGATTACGTACTTCAGCAGATGACAAAGTGCAATTTTAGATTTTATTTATGGTTGTGTTGTTCTTTAAAGTATTATTTTTATTTAATTGAAGCTATTTTGTTTAATTGGAGCTTCTCTGGGCATTATTGAAGACTTGTTTCACATTATCTTGTTGTTACATTTTATATATGTGCAAAGTTTGCTACTCTAATGATTTATGTCATTGTGCCAGTATTTTAGTTCAGGAAGCCTGTAAAATTAGTATTTCAGTATGTGAATTGTCCTTAAAAGGTTTTACTTCATATATAGAAGCAGGCTAGCTTTTTGAGTCTTAAAATTTATAGTAAAAATAAAGAGGACTCTTGAATTGTGTGTCTTGGCTCTTAAACTCTTTGATAGCTGTGAAGTGCAAAGTTACTCTTTGATAGTGTTAACTCTCCCTTTGCCTTATTTGTGGTTTTAAAGCTAAGAATGAGTTTATTGGCTTAAATATCCAGGGTAATRATACAGAAGGTAAGTTCATTTGGGAGTTCTGGTAGGAATATCATTTGTTCTTTGCATCAGTAATGATAGTATTATTACACAYTTATGCACAAAACATTAGTTGTCATGTTTAAATTTTAGAAAAATGGATTTCAAGTTTCAGAAGTCTACAAGGGAAGATGAAATCTACAAGCTTACTGTTTAAAACAATCAGATTAATGTTACTTAACGATCCAGATCCATACATTTGTTTACATGTAGTAATGATGACATTATAAGTTATTAAATGGTATATAGGACTTATTTGTAGGTTTGTTTTAGGAAATATGGAGCCTATTCATTGAAGATGTAGAAGAATTAATTTTTTGTACAGCAAGACTTTATAGGAATTTTTACATCTTGGTCTTAAGGGGAGAATGTGCCCTCAGGAAGCTAATTAAATTTCTTCATTTTCTCACAGCCCGAAAAAGCTTCTTTTCCTTTATTTTGTTTGAAAAACAAACAACAGACCACTAATCAAAATTATCTTTCTAGTGTCTCTTCATATCCCACTGGTGTGTGTGTGTGTGTGTGTGTTTTTTCACTTCTTCCTAAGAGAATGATTTTATACTTGCATTATTTTGACATGGCAGAATTTTTTTTAAAGCATTTTTTTTTTTTTAAATTTTGATGCCTGAAATTTGATGTTTGTACCTATTTTAGTTCTGAGAGATTGTCTTAACTGTATTTTGGTGAGCAGGTTTTTGTGTAAATGCAGATTTGCTTTCTAAGTCTATAAAACACAAGCACTGGTTTTGTTTTATTTGAAACTTTAGATGTAATCATTCATACCAGTGATTCAAAGGAATGAACTTTGGTGATTTTAAATTTTGGTATGAATTTATTAAACAGGTAAATAAATAAATTTTAACACATTGTTTTGATGCATCAGTATAGTACTAAAAGATAATTTTAAATTTCTTACTTTGCTATTGAGGCTTTGCTTTTACACTCTGCTGTTACTAGACATTCCATCATTTTTGTTTTTATTAACATTTCACAACTCATTACATTTTTATTTTTGTTATTTGTTAAGTGCTTTTTCTTTTTTTCTTTGACCTTATTATCTCTGTCTTTTTAAAAAACTTGTTCTCTAACTTTGTTTTCCATTTTCTCTTTTTACTTTTTCCATACAGTGTTGTTACAGATCTTATAGCAGTCGGTTTAAAGGTAGGAATCTTTTACTATCCTTTTGTAATTTAGTTTTGGAATTTTTTAAATGGTAAAACCATCTCATCTGTTCATAAAATTATCTGTTATGTGAGAGTAATATTTCATTTTTATTTACTCCAAAATAAGACACCAGTTATTATTGGAATTTCTTTATTTAAGAAGCAGCTATAATAACACCATATACACAAATAAAGTATGAACAGAAAATTGAGCCCAAAGTTTAACTTGAAATATTAAAGGTGTTTTTGTTTTTTAGTAGTTAAATGTAACCAAGATTCTGAGCATCTTCCTGTCATGTCCTTTCTTATATCCTCTCTTTTCATGGGTGCTTATAAGTAATAAAATATTAATAGTTGATATTTCTTTAGTATCTCATGCTGAGTACTTTATATATGTATTTTTTCCCACTGATCATTATTGCAAACCTTAAAGGTAGGTAATTAATATTCCCACTTTAGAGATGAAAAAGTGAGATGAGGGGCTGGGGATGTGGCTCAAGCGGTAGCGCGCTCGCCTGGTATGCGTGCGGCCCGGGTTCCATCCTTAGCACCACATACAAACAAAGATGTTGTGTCCGCCAAATACTAAAAAATAAATATTAAAAAAAAAAAAAAAGAAAAAAAAAAGTGAGATCAGAAAGTTCATGTCCAAGACGTGGTACACTGGTGTTCAAATCCATATCCTCCTGGTTCCAAAGCTTGACCTTTTTATGTTATGCCTTACATGGTAGCATACAGGGTTCTAGCTAAAAAGTGTACAGCCTAGAGAGCTGGATGATTAATATAATTATTTCTGTAAGTTCTACATCACTTGTTTTATCAGTCTTGTCATTTATTTGATTTAAAAATATAAATCAAGCAAACAATACGCAATATGAGACTTTTAAAATATAGCTGGTGTAATAAGGTTTTCTTTTGTAATTTGGTATCTGATATAGCTGAGTTAGGAATCTAGTTCAGATTACAGTAGAAATCAGATGATAGTATTATTACACACTTATGCACAAAACATTAGTTGTTTGTATTGCATGTGTTTTAAATATTTTAGATAAATTTATGTAAGGTGTTCCATCCCTTTGTAGTATAAATGCTGCTAAAGAGAGCACATGATTCTACCACTGTCCATTTCTGTGTATCATCTTGCTAGCAGATTCTATGCTTTTACTTCATTTGCATTTATTGTGGTTGATGGTGGTCCTCATTCTTTTTTTTTTTAATATATGAATTTTTTAGATGTTTATGGACCTTTATTTTATTTATTTATTTACCTGTGGTGCTGAGAATCGAACCCAGTGCCTCACACATGCTAGGCAAGCGCTCTACCACTGAGCTACAACCCCAGCCTGGACCTCATATTCTTAAAGACAACTTGAAAAAGAAGCACAAATACAACGACTAGCACAATTGGGAGGAACTACTGCTCATACAGTTTTGGAGTTGGGTGGAATTGACCTGCTTTGACAAACTTTGAATATATTTATTATTTGGAAATAAATGGAGAGGTCTCTTCTGTTGGAATTTTTTTTTTGGTAGATATGTTAATTCAGTTTCTCATTTGGAAATGACACTTAGATTAGAAATTATAGGCTTGACCATGTCAGATTACTTTTGGTGTCTGTTGGTGCCTGTGGGAGAAAGAATATTTAATGCAAATGCTGTTTTACTCTTATCAGAAATGTAATTTGTGATTCTAGAGTTTTATCTGGCAAAAATGAATACAGAAGATATTTTAAAAAACTTAACATTTAGGAGCTAAGGGACTGTCATGCCCTTTTTTTTTTTTTAATTTTTGGTACTAAAGATTGAACTTAGGGACACTCAACCACTGAGCCACATCCCAGCCCTTTTTTGTATTGTATTTAGAGGCAGGGTCTCACTGAGTTGCTTAGTGCCTCACTTTTGCTGAGGCTGGCTTTGAACTAGAGATCCTCCTTCCTCAGCTTCCTGAGCTTCTGATATTACAGGTGTGTGCCACTGCACCTTGCCTTGCCCATTTTATTGTGGGGAAAATATATATCCATGTAAAAGAAAATTTGTTAGGCACAAGAACCATATGTGAATACAGAACTGGGCTTTTCTGACTACATGTTTTGCAGCAAGCACTTTGAAAAC